AGATAAACTGGAGATGAAAAGACATCACAGTACAAAAAGATACTCGACTAATCTTGACAAGATGGGAAAATTATTCGAGATAGAACAAAATCCACCGATGAAGCATATTTATGGTATAAGGCTCTAATCTCTATGGAGAGGAAGATACTTTTCGAGAGAAAATCCAAAGTCCAATCTTCTAACATGAATAATCCATTGAAAGGGGAACAATATGAACTCTGATGCAGCTGGAGAAAAATCTTTCTTAGCTGGAACTACTGGGGAACACCACCATCTGATAATGTGTGCCAAGCAGGTCACATATCTTGACAAATCTGGATTTCCCCTGGAACTATTTTTGGATTCCCCAAGTTTACTGCTGATAGACTGCATGATGAACGCCAATTCTTGCGAATAACTTCACTTTTTAAATGCCCCAAGTTACATGGTTTACGAGAAGAAATTGTCTCTAGAGGATTTTACAAAAGACTTGGCATCCAAAATACCCTAATGTCTTCAAACTCTTGGAGAGATTCGTTGAATCTTGATGTGACTGCCCCAGATTGACTGTATTTGGCAAGACAAAGTCTTCAAATTTGCCTCATGAGGGAAATTAAACTATGAAGGCAACAACTTGTTCATGCTGAAGGTCTTTAGGCGAGACGCTCCTGGCTATAATAAATATTAGAAATGATTCACCAATTACTTAATAAAGTTTCAGACCTCAAAGGTTAAAATCATCACTGATGCTTATATATAAGCTTCCTTGACATTAAGCAATTGTTTTTACAAGCAGAAAAGTTTATTCTGAGAATGAAAATTATAATACAACAGTTATGTAAGCCTTGAATATTTTTGAAAAGATGTCGCATAGCTTGCGAATTAGCGCATTATTTTTGTATGAAATATAACAAAAGCATATGATAGCAACACAACTATTTTATCATAACTTACGGGAGTCAGGAACACTATCTCGTTGGAGTATGCTTTTGAAATAAAACATGTTTCAATTAGGACTTTTGAAGATTGTAACATGGCCTGCTTCACAGTTTTTCAGGAAAAAAAGATTTTATGGCTCAAGGCTTATTTGGTTCCCACCCTCTTCATGATGTTCTTTAGTCCTATATTCAGTTAATTTGATATGAGCACTCATCTCTCAAGAGGAATTAGTTAATGGTTGGTGAACCACTGACATTCTTTGGACACGAAAATCACTCACTTTTATCACACGACTTTGTTCTTTGTTGAGGATTTTATGTTGTAATCCTTTCTCGCCTTTCAATCTTTCCGTTTCTTCATTACTTCCCCTAACTTTTTCCTGGACAAATTCTTTTTGAATTTGACTCTGAAGTCCAGTGGGATATCCTGACTTTTGCCTAAGCGACTTGTTTTTCAAGTTTCTACTTAGCGGGGCTTTTTGTATCTTTCTTTTTTCATCATTTTTATTCATTTCATTTTTCCTTTTGAACACATTGCTTGACTTCGAGTCGTTTGTAACTTGTTGGAAGAATTGTGACTGCCTGATTTCTTGGTAGATGAGGGATAGCCATTATTGTATCCTTATCTGTTGACCACTTGATGTGCGTGAGATACCCATTGGGATATCGTCTTGTTTTGATGTACACTACTAATAGGTGAAGATTGACCATTGTGATTTTGACTTTCCTCAACCTTTTGAAAGATAATCATTTTTGTAAACTTGGACGTGCACTCTTGATGAGATTTGAATACTCAATCAGATTAACTGAACACTACCCAGCCCTGGGTTAAAAATGAGGTTTTTTCTAAACAGAAAAGAAACTCCTACTTCAAGGCTCAAAGGGGTTAACGAGGGTATCACTCCCTTATATCTCCGGTGTTTGGGGATTTGAAACAATGCTTGTACATCGTCAACAGGGTTTTATCCAAAAGCATACAACCAAAAAATTTGTGTTTTAAATTCATCATCCTCCATCCAATATTTTCCTAGGAAAGATAATGGATAACAAGTTGGTATCATAATGCAAAAAGAAATTTTAAAATTGAAACAAATACGAGTGAAACGAATGGATTTCTTCAAGACAAACATACTAATTGTATTAAGATAATCATTCAAATGCAAACAAGTTCTACATGAAAATAGTGCAATGATAAACAAGAAAGATTACAAATTAAAAAGCAGCAAAATGCTAATTAAATTGAGAAGACTCTGTTCTTTAAACTCTAAGGTATCCTTCAATCATGTTTATCCTTTGGTAATGACTTGACTTGAACCTCAAGACCAATATATTTAAATGACAAGATACCACTTCTAACCAATCTCTGAACTTTGAACTTCAAAGCAAAGCAATCTTCCAAATCGTGCCCAAGAGCTTCCTGATGAAAGGCACAAGTCAAATCAGCTTTGTAGTACCACGACATCTTCTCAGAAATCTTCGATAGAGATCGTGTGAAAACCAAATTCCTTTATATTAGGACAAGGAACAACTCTGTATAGGTAGTTAGAATTGGATCAAACTGAGTTTTTCTCTGATTAGAAATTTTCTGGTTGGAAGCTTCAGAAGTTGTATTTACCATAGGGGTGATAGGAAAAACATGTTGTTTTTTATGATGATCTTCCCTTCTTTGGGGTCTCCTTGTTCCTCACTGCAGTCGCAGATGATTTGCAAGAGTTGGGTTAATCGATGGCATAACAGTAGCAACTTGTGGATGCTGATAACTCCTTTTTCTACATCTAAGTTTCTTTTTACCTTCTTATGAAGTATCAATGGAGTCTTGCTCTCTTTTCTTGGCGAAGCTATCAACATACTTCTTTGCATTATCTGTCGAGTTACCATTATCAGACAAATGTTCCTCTTGGACATTTGCTTCTAGACGCACTTCCACATTCATTTTTTAGGGCAATCATTGGGTGTATTGACCTTCTCATGAAAGAATGGTTTAACAACTTTTATGAAGACTTTTTCCATCTCTTCTTCCTTCCTAGAAGGATTGACTTGGACAGCAACCAAGGATTCAACCAAAGCAGTTAGATACTCCATACCAGCCTTCAAAGTAGTTACCTCTTTGCGGAGTTCAGAAATCTCTTGCTTAATATTTTCCATCTTCCTCTTAGCGCGAGCGTTGTACTCTGGGACCAAAGGGAAAATAAGACTCGGGAATGACTTTAGAAAGTGAAACAAAAATGTAGTTTGATGCATGGTTATGCAAATGGTAAGTTTAATTCATTTCTAAGGACCTCAAATTTTGATTCGAGCTTCAAGCGATAAATAATTAGCACAAAATGTGACAAATAAGTTTAATACAAGGTTAAGAGCCTAAAGGCTACAAAATACAAAGCCAAGAGATCCCAGTCAACAGACCTGGCGGTGATCATCAAAAATACAAACCCTAAGATGTTTCCCCGGGCTCTACATCAGCAAGGGTATCCCAAACTAGATTCTCATTACTCCGCTCTTGGGCCCTTTTAAAGATCTCCTATGTTGCTTCGATCTTTGATCTCTCAATTAGATCCTTGATGAATACATCCCTTCTATTGATAATGCTTTCCAGATGATCATTCTCTCCTTGAAGTTGAAGGCCGTAAAAATCTTCTTGTCGATCTTCATCTTCAGACTTCGTGACCTTAACTTGAACTGGTGTCTAAACATTGTAACTGATGGTACTCCTCTTAAATACAAATAAAGGAGAATGTAACTAATTATCTAAAGAAGTTATTTGAACTAAATTAAAAATTTAAGATTACTTATTAAAATAATTCTAAACTAACTACAAATTCTAAGGTTATAAAAATAATTCTAAAATTACTAAATTAGATCTAAACTAAATTAAAATTTTAAAGTTATTAAATTAAATCTAAATCAAATGAAAATTCTAAAGTTATTAAATTAAATGTAAATTAAAATAAATATTCTAAATCAAATAAAATTCTAAAGTTACTGAACTAAATCTAAATCAAATAAAATTCTAAAAAAAATACTAAACTAAATCTAAATCGAATAAAAATTCTAAAATTACTAAACAAAATCTAAATCAAATAAAAATTATAAAGTTACTAAATTATATCTAAACTAATTTAAATGTAAACTAAGTTAATTATAAAACTCTAATTTAAATATAAGCTATTATAAAAAATATTAATCTAAACTAAATTAATCCTAAAAATTGCTAAAAATTATATCTAAACTAGTTTATTCTAAGATTAATAATCTAAAATTAAATTAAGTTATTTAATGGAAAAAAAAGGTGTGGAAACAGTAAATTAGAGGTGGATATGTTGAATTTCGAATGGACTTAAAGTTAAGAAGGGAAATAAGGCCCAAAGTTAATAGTAAAAAAACCATATGATATAAAAGTTAGGTTTAAAGGAGGTAAAATGCAGAATGGTTGTAAAACTATCTCAATGGGTCTCAAACCCATGACCTCTCGCATGCAAGACTTACACTCCAACCACTACACCAAATTGTTCATTTGTTGATGTATCTAATCAAAAGCAATAAAAGTTAAAACTGATGAGATGGGTTGGGCTAACATGCCCCAATGGGCTGACCCGATTTAGGTAAGGGAAAGGAAGGGTTTTGAAAACCCTAATTGTACAAAGAGGCGTCGCGGATTCTCATTGGGAAGGGGAATTGGTCCAATAGCATTAATTCACTAACATTCCTAATTAAATTGAATTAAAAGAAATATTTGGAAAACATCAGATATCACGTTTTCTCTCTCCGCTCTTTCACGCTCACGATCCTCTTATCTTTCTCTCCACCGAATCCTCTTTTCTTACCTTTATTCTGCTTATTTTTTATTACTCTCAATCAATCTGAACATCAAACAAAAACCCTATGGTTCTCTTTATCACCGTTTAACCCCATGGCCAATTTTTCACCGTTTCCATCTCTCTAAATCTCTCTGTTTCAATTCTCATCAATAACCCATTTACAAAACACACAAAACATCGACTAAAGAAATCACATATTCAAGTGAGGATCAAATAAACATTCATTCAAGCAACAATTTTCAACAGTATCAAGAATGCTTTTAAAAAAATGCAAGAAAACATACAGCCTGGAGCTAGTCTGGTGATTACCGATTCCTACAAAGTTCGAAGGTATTCATTCAGGTAAGTTTGAAAACCATTTTTCTCTCGCCTCCTCCTAACTCTAATTTCATTCTCCTCTTTTGGGTTTGAAATTTCTTGGTGCGTTGATTTTGCGTTAAGTGATTATGCGTGTCATAGCTGTCGAAATCGATTTGCAGGTTGTAGCTTAGTTGATGTTAATGTCATGATTTCGTTGTCGCGTTGAAGGTGTCGGTTTGTATTAGTTGAGCGCGGATCTAAGGATTCAGTGTCGATGGAAGTGTTGAGTTATTATTGTACAAATTTTGAAGGTGAAGGTTTTCTTGGTGAACATGGAGTATGCGGTTTTGATAGTGAAGGTTTTAAGGTTCATTGAACAGAAGTTGGTTATGGAGAGTGATTTTTCTCTGTGGCCAAACTCTGTTTTCGTGTCTTTTCTAGTATTTGACAGTAGTTTTGGTAGTATTTTTTGTCTGGTTTTTCTGTGTTCCAAGGATCCTTTTTTATATGCATATTCAAGTGAGATTGAGATTGGGAGGGAAAACATGTGAACCTTTTTGAACAAAAGTGGTTAACTGTCTTTGTAGCTTTTCTGGTGCAATTTCTTGCTTAACTATTTTATTGTAAAATTTGGATTGATATGCTTGGCTTTGTGAATTTTTTCCCTACATGCCACGCCCCTGAAACAAAATTCACAAAATGCCACGCTTTGGAAAAAAATTCCCAATATGCCACAGTCAGGGGGGGTTCACGCCATTTGAGATGGCGTGAAGGTGAGCAGGAAGGGCTCACGCCAAATCAAATGGCGTGAAATGCCTTTATATTTTTTTTTTCGTTTTCTGACTTTTTAATTATTTATTTTAATTATTTTAATTATTTAATGTTTATATTAATTACAAATACTTTTTATTAAATAAATTTTATTATTTTTATGTTTATAATTTTAACAATTACAATATGATAATAAATTAATACTTCAAATAAATATTTAACAATTACAATATGATAATAAAAAAAATTTTATTAAATAAATAAAATATCACAATTACAATCAAAATGCAAAATAAAATAAAACTAGTTAGAAGGGCCTGCATTGTTGAGGTGATGCGGACATTTTTTACGCATATGAGGTTGTTGACAGATACCGCATCGTCTTTTTATTTTTTCAATAGTGTCCATTTCAGTTCTAATGCGAGTACTGTTTGGGCGACCTTTTTTGTTTCGTCGCATCATTTCATCATGCATAAGAGTATCGCCCAAATATGGAGGCCAACTATCTTCTTGGGGAGCACCGAGGAAACTTTGTATGTAAACTTTGAAGACGTTTATAACTCTATACAAGTCAGGAATAAACGTAGTATAGTCGTGGTTAATGTGAGAACACGCTGCGATAGCATGTGAGCAAGGCAGATGAAAAGTTTGAAATCTTCCACAGTCACAAGTTCGTGTTTGGAGGTTGACGTTGAAATGGGTAAGTGGCCGATAATTCCTATTATTAACCATCTCTTGAACCACGAAATAATGACTTTCACGGTCAAAAGCCAAGACATTATAACTGTGGGATTTTTCTACTTCTTCTACAATTCCTTTCATGCAATTATTTGTGAACTCCTTTCCCGATGACAAATTTTTGGTCCAATCCTTTCCTCGCTTACCCCACAATGTTCCCATCCTGTAGTATGTTGATCTTACAAGTGATGTAATAGGTAGGTTTCGGGTTTCCTTCAAAACTGAGTTCAAAGATTCAGCTAGGTTGGTTGTCATGTGACCCCATCGTGCTCCTCCGTCGTAAGCTCGCGACCATTTTTCTCTTGGAAGGTTCTCTATCCAATTAAAAGCCTCTGTGTTTTTTTGGCGGATCTCCTCCTGATAATATGCGTAGGTAGACTCATTAATTGCATACCCTTCATAAAAGCATTAAAACATTAATATAAAAGAACTATATATTGAAATGTCGTGTTAAAAATTAGAGAGTAATTACCCATGTTAACAACTGTCTTGCGAAGGTTTTTGTCCTTGATGGCTCGCATGAAGTTTAGTGCGATGTGCCTAATGCAATACACATGCACCGATGGTGGGTTCTGCCAGCCATTATCCGGGTTATTGTAGGCACTCTTAATGGACTCATGTCGATCAGATATCAAACATAAGTCTGATTGGGGTGTGACGTAGAGTCTCAAATTTTTCAGAAAGAAACTCCAAGCTCCCCCGATCTCACCTTCGACCAATGCATATGCGATTGGGAAAATGTTACCATTCCCATCTTGTGCAACAGCCAGGAGAAATGTTCCCCTATATTTTCCATACAGCCATGTACCATCTACCTGCACTATAGGTTTACAATGTGAGAAAACCCTAATACAAGGTTGAAATGCCCAAAAAAGGCGATGGAAAATTCTTGCACCACCAATTTGTGTTCCTTCATTTGAATATACAGGAAGTGTTTCAAGATCTATGACGGTACCTGGGAGAAATTGTTGCGTGACTAGCAACCACTGCGGAAGGTTGTTGTAAGAGGCCTTCCAATTACCATAAATATCTTCGATTGATTTGTTCTTTGCAATCCATGCCTTTTTGTAAGACACGGTGTAGCCATAAGTCGTACGAATATGAGCAACAATATGTCTAACCTTGATTTCCGCGTCGCTATCAACAAGAGGTCTGATGTTATGGGCGATCATATTTGAGGTAAGCTTTTTGTGATCTTGAGATATAGCAGTCGACATGCAAGTGTGTGGCCCTCCAATTCTGCCAATAACCCATTTACCACACCCCTCCCTTAACGAAGCCCTACATGTGAAGTTGCATTCCTCCTTTTTACATTTAATTAAATATCGTGTCGGATCATACTTACAAACCTTAAAAGTATGAGAATTTTTTATGTGATACTCAGATATTGCATGGAGACATGCTTCTTTGTTTTCAAAAGTCATACCAACCTTTAAGTCATCACGTGACTCACGTTCATGTACGGGTTCGAAGACTGAAATTGGTTCCACACATTCAAATGAAACATTTCTTAAGTGATAGGGTGGGTTGTATAGATCAAGTATAGGAGCCGGTTCTGCCTCCAGTTTGTCATCGTCACCTGACTCGTCACTGGACCCACTAAACAAATTAATTTGTCTGGCATCGTCAGAGTCAGTATCATCACCCACTTCCTCTTCTGGAAATATTGGCTCGTTATATTGTGCTTGGACAGACTCTTCTTGTTGGGAGACCTGACTTTGTTGATATGCATGAGTTTGTGATGATTGTGTTGGAAATACTTCATGCATTTGTTGAAAACAAATATACAACTCCATTGCTTGTTGACTGCAAAACCTTGAGTGGCATTGAAGCATTGAACGAACATCTTCATCGTCTTCTATTTTGGCAGTGTTGTATATGACATTGTGATCAACTAGATTAACTATTGGAAATCGATAAAAAATAGAAGTTACATGTTGTCGTAAAGTTTCTTCTATTTTTTCCGTCAACTGAGCTAAATCACTATTTCGATGAATATTTAAAATATGTGTATCTGTATTTTGAAATACCACTCCAATAATTTCATCGGTAAAAATATTACCATTGAAATGTAACAGACAAGAAATATGATTTTGTGGCATTGTGTTTGATGTAATGTTCAATTGTTTGGATATGTGATAGCTTGGTTTGTTGAATAAGATACAACTATGTTGAATTGTATTTCATGCATGTATTAATAAACAAACAGCAATTCGTTGGATTTATTATACTGTCGCCAAGTCAAATGGCGTGATGCTTTGGTTCTTGTACACTTGCGCCATCTCAAATGGCGTGAGCCCTTGGAGGCGCCATTTCAAATGGCGTGAAGCCCCTAGTTGCGCCAAGTCAAATGGCGTGAACCCTAGGGTTGCTCCAATTCAAGTGGCGTGAACCCTAGGGTTGCTCCAATTCAAATGGCGTGAAGCCTATGTGTCTGGCGTGAAGATGTCATATGTGCCATACATATAAGAGCTACATTAAACGATTATGTTATCATATTAAAATGAGTCTGATACTCTGCTCAGTATACATTATTCTGTATAATTCACAGGTTTTTATGTTTGATTATAGAAATGCATTTTCTAATCCTTTGGTTGTGCGGCTTATGGAAAGATCTAAACTAATTCATTTGAAAAATCAATTACGTCAAGTCACAAATATTAATAGGAGCATTACAGAGATATCTTTCAACCGGACTACCATCAACGAAAATGGAGTCTTGATGCAGCATATTACAAAGTTAGTTACAAATACAGATGTATTTAACATGTTTGAGGATTTTCGAATTGGTGTTTATAAAACACCATTTGAGTTGTATGTCAGATTCAGTAGATCAGCCGATGAGGTTTTATCATTGTGTACAAAACCGTGTAATTTACAATATTCGTAATAAATTATAAATTTATATTTATCCAACTTTCATTAAATTACTCTACTACCTACCAACTCTAATTAAATTACTCTACTACCTATTAACCATAATTAATTAAATTATTCAACTACCAATCAACCACACTCACCTCTTTTTTCCTATAAATACTCAATCACTCTCACCTCATTTCTCCACAAACACACTTCATTCTATTCACACTCTCTACTCTCTTTTGATAAGTCTTCTCTTCTCTATTTTCATAAGTCTTCAATTAGTTCTTCATTTTCACAATTATGGCCAATATGTTTTGGTATGGTACACAACATAGGGGAACTGTAGAAAATATCAATGTTGTAAGTATTTTTGATTTATTCAACTTTATTCATATTATTTATTTTTGAGTTTACAATAATATTTTTATTCATAATTTGCATAGAAATATTGAATATTTTTCTATATTACTTATTTCTATTACAGATTGATGATAATTATATTTCAAAATGGAGAATCCGTGCTCACAAACCTCTAAAGCCACATGCAGCCATAATCCCGTACCTTCACCAATCTGGGTTCTACCATGTATCTACAATAGGGTCAACACACATTGATTCAAGGTTAATTATAGCCTTACTGGAACGGTGGACACCCGAAACTCATACATTTCATCTTCCAAACGGTGAATGCACAATTACATTGGAAGATGTGAGTATGGTATTGGGGCTTCCTGTAGATGGAAAAGCGGTAAATGGTCAATCTGAGCTAGGTGATGGTGCATGGAGTTCTATTTTAGGGGATGAACCACCACAAAGTGATAAGGGAATGACTGCGAGGTTGACATGGCTTAAAGACATGTACCAACATGAACCACCAACCGAGGAGTCACCCGAGGAGTATAAAATTAAACATGCTCGTATTTATATCTTACTCCTTATCGGGCAAGTTTTGTTTCCCAACAAAAGCGGTAATACTATACACTCAAAATGGACACAATTTGTTGTGGATTTAGAAGATTGTGGAAAATTGAGTTGGGGTTTTAGCGAATTTATATAGGGAAATGTGCAAGTCGGTAGACATAAAAGTAACAGAGATGTCAGGATGCATTTTACTTCTTCAAGCTTGGGCTTTTACACGCATGCCTATAATATCTCCGGTGGCTCCGCTTCAATCTCCATATCCTTACGCAAGAAGGTAATATTTTATTTTAAATTTAAAATTATAATTAATATTGTTAGGATACTTTAAAATAAAATTTAATTTTAAATTCTTTTTAGGTGGTGCATCAAGAAACTTGACTACCAAAACAACCCGCGCCACCATCTACAAGGATACCGATTCAGGATTGATCACATGCTTCAAGATCAGGTTTTTTTGTCTTCGCCTTAATATTTCTTATAAATTTTTGAATTTTATTTTGGTTAAACTAAAAAAATTTATGTACAACTTCTCAGTTTATTTGGAGGTCGTATCTTGGATTAGCGCCCCAAAGGCACGAGGACAGTTTGATATGGAGTTCAACTACGTATATAATATGCTTTCATATTGTAGAAATGCATCAAACTGATAGGGTCAAACTACAATTTGGCCATTTACAAGGGATACCTGAAGAAGCTCGATGCTTGGCTGAACACCATAAGATGACAACAATAAAAGCGCGCCAAAAAGCATATACCACATTATACTCTGATGAACAAAACTGTTGGTTGCATCGAGAATTGTTTACGTTGGATGGAGATCAATTACAAACAGAGGAGAAACCGTCAAATGAGTACATGCAATGGTATCACTCGCTTCCACATAGATATGCATCGTACGGACAATTTCTCACTGACCCTCGTCAAAATCAACATGCCCCTACTCAGGCAAGTGGCTCTCAATAAACTCACCACTCACAACATTCTCAACCTCCTCAACCTCAATCCTTCCAACAACAAACTCCTCACTTTTCCCAACATCAAACACCCATCCCCCATTATCCTGAACAACAAACTTCTAACCCTCATTTTTCTCAACTACAAACTCCTGTCCCTTATTTTTACCAAAATCAAACCTTTAACACCCAATACCCGCAATCTCACTCCCAACCAAATTACATTTATGAATCCCAACAACCACAATTTTATAATAGGCCAACTACACAATTCACACCCATCATGCGGCCAAACTTCGATTCCTCCTCCTCCCAATATAACCCGCATTATTTTCCAACCATGTGTCCGCTACAACAGCCGCAAAATAATTTTGGCGAGGATCTTAACGTCAGTGATTATGATTTGCTGCAAAGTATTTGGTCTCCTCCACAAGCTACCGCTCCTAGTCAAGAAAATCCTCCAACATCAGATGCAACACAACAAAATCCTCCAACTACAGAGACCGAACAACAATATGGTTTTGGTCATCGTGCTCCGCGACCGCGTTATTGTTTTACCGGTACTCGTTTCGGACCGGGTCATCAGCATTAAATAGTGTAATTGTGAATTTTTAACAGTTTTATTTTATTTTGCATTTTGATTGTAATTGTGATATTTTATTTATTTAATAAAAAAATTTTATTATCATATTGTAATTGTTAAATATTTATTTGAAGTATTAATTTATTATCATATTGTAATTGTTAAAAATATAAACATAAAAATAATAAAATTTATTTAATAAAAAGTATTTGTAATTAATATAAACATTAAATAATAAAAATAAATAATTAAAAACTCAGAAAATGAAGAAAAAAAATATAAAGGCATTTCACGCCATTTGATTTGGCGTGAGCCCTTCCTGCTCACCTTCGCGCCATCTCAAATGGTGTGAACCCCCCCTGACTGTGGCATCTTGAGAATTTTTTTTCAGAGCGTGGCATTTTGTGAATTTTGTTTCAGGGGTGTGGCATGTAGGGAAAAAATTCTGGCTTTGTAGGTTTTGGTGCTTATGAGCAGCATAGTAAGATTGGTTTTTGACAGTTGTCTTGGACTTATGCAATAACCTGAATAGCAAAGTCTTTTGGCATGTTATGGACAGGCTCAAGGACAGCAGCAGCAAGGCTATTTTGTGTAATAAATTTGGCATTTTTATGCAGGTTTTTTGGTGACTTATGGGCTGTATTTTTTACTGTTTTTGCAGGGCAGTATGCAGCAGGTTTAGAGATAGGGAATTGACATACATTGTGATGAAAGTTAGAGTGAAATATTGCTGTGAATTGCTAAAATCGTGAATGCATGAAGTGGTCCCCAAAATCTTCTTTTTCTTTCCTATTTTTGATAGAGGACAAATACCAAACTAATAATATTAATATAACCAAAAAAAATTAATAACAAAGCTAATAATAACTTATGTATAAAAATAAATAACATAAACTAAACTTAATATATATATATATATATATATATATATATATATATATATATATATATATATATATATATATATATATATATATATATATATATATATATATATATATATATATATATATATATATATATATATATATATATATATATATATATATATATATAAATTTTGAATTGAAATCAATAAGAATAAAAATACAATTTTAAATAATAAAAGGACTTATATTCTAAAAAATGCAAAAAATAGAAGAAAAAAAACGTCATTTTAATTTTTTTGAGATTTTTTTCAAATAAAGTGATGCAAAAATATAAATTATATGTAACTAAGATTTTTTGATAGTTTTAAATTAACATAAAGAACTTGCAAAATAAAATAAAAGAAGGCCAAATAACTATTTTTTTATAGATTTTTTTACTAAATTAAATCTAAAAGACTATAATTTTGACTTAAATGATACAAGAACAAAAAAATCTAAATGAAACTTAAGGAGACTAATTTTTTTGATATTTTGAATAAAAACGTAAATAAAATGAAGATGACATGAACTAAATATTTTAGGATTTTTCATGGAAATAAGAATAAAAGAAGACAAAGTGTAGAATGTATGGTCGGGCAAAACATAGTCCAAAATTAAGAATCAAATTCCATTAAATTAGTTAAACGAATTTTAATATTAACAATTTTTCGAGGCTTTTCAATGCATAATCAGCCTTTGATTTGTAAAGAAAAGTTGTAGATGACGTCAAGAAAAATCATTTGAAAAAACAACCACTTAATATTTTTGAAATTTAAAGAAGTTATGAATTTTAAAAATCTGATTCGAGAATTGACAAAAATAGGTCGAATCGCTTGTGAACACTTGTTATGTAATGATGCAGATGGGAGGTGGTATCTTAGATCAAAATTTTGGGTATGACAGCAGGTTTTGTGAACTAATTTTACAAGGGTTGTTTGGAGTTGAATATTAATGTGTAACTGTTTATGGCTTTGTATTGATTTATTTGCATGTCAATTAATATTTCTGAATTATTTTGAATCATGAATTGAGTTGTTTTGCTAATTTTTGGTCCAGGGAAGAAAATTGAATGAAGGCTTGAGCAAGCTTGGCAAAGGCGTGATATTGAAGGCGGAATCATGGAGATATCGCAAGGCTTAAAGCATGATAGCAAGTGATATGAGGATGGGGAAGATCAAGTTTGGTCATGGAGCATTATTCTTGAGAAATTATGATAGGTTTATATGTCTTCAAGTAACTTGATATAAATTCCTTTGTAACCTTATACTTGAATGTCTAGAATGATATTGACAGTGTAGTGGAAAGTCCCAAATATTCAATGTAATCATCTCTCCCAAATTGGTTTTCATGTCTCCAAATTTCCTTTGACTTTGCACTTTTGTATGAAATGATGATAATGTTAATCCTGTAATTGAATCTTGGAATCAAATATGAATTTGAATACCTTATAATACTTGAATTTGGAACGAAACAAATGGTAGGCTTTAAGCTCCGATTGATCCAAATATTCAAATCTTTCAAATTTGCATCCTTGATATGGAAATGATACTTAAATTTGAAGTGAATGCATAATGAAGATGAAGTTGAATTATGAGTTGAATAACTTTAACCTTGGATGGATTAACTTTAATACCTTTACCACTGATGACAAAAGCTAGGAGTTTATCGGATCTTACCCCAAAGGTGCACTTGTTTAGATTCAACCTCAATCTGTATTTCTTCAATATCTCAAACAGCTTGTGCAAGTGGTCAAGGTGTTCTTCTTCAGTCTGGGATCTGGCTATCATGTCATCAAAGTAAACCTCTATCTCGTGATGGATCATATCATGGAACAAATCTACCATAGCATGCTGATACGTTGCACCTGCGTTCTTCAAACCAAAAGGCATAACTTTGTAACAAAAAGTGCCCCACTGTATAACAAAAGTAGTCTTCTCCATGTCTTCAGGTGCCATCTTAATTTGATTATACTTAGAGAAACCATCCATGAAGGAAAATAATTTGTGCTGAGCGGTGTTGTCAACAAGAACATCAATATGTGAGAGAGGGGAGTAACCTTTGGGGCTTGCCTTATTCAGATCCATGTAGCCTATACACATATGCACCTTACCATCCTTCTTAGGTACTGGCACCATATTCGCAACCCACTGCGGATAGGACGTAACAGCTAAGAAACCTGCGTTGAACTGCTTCATAGGACGACAACCTTCCTTCATCAGTAAATGGTGAACCATAATATCAGTATCAAGCCTTGGCATGTCTTCGTACGACCAAACAAATATCTCAACATAGTCATGTAACATCTGAATTAATCTCTTTTTGACACTCTTCTAGGTTGGCACCTATCTTGATTTCTTTCTTTTCCTCTTCAGTACCCAAGTTACAACCTCGACTGGCTCTTCATGTGGTCGTATGGCTCTTTCTTCTTGCATTAATAACCTAGCAAGCTCTACAGGTATTTCACAATCTTCCTCACCTTCTTCCTCGGCTTGGTAGATCGGATTTTCGAAGTCATAATTGGCAATAGAAAAATTGTTATCAATGGGATCCAAGGTGGATATGGATCTGCATTTTGTTGTGTGGGTGTGTGTAAGCATACATAGCTATTTTGGAAGCAAATTAAGTAAAAGAAATACAAAGAGAGAAATATTTGAATGCAAATGTCCAATGATTTATTAAATGAAAATATGCTGATGAATAATGAAAACCCTAACAAATGGACCGTTGTGCCCCGGGTAAGGCACAAGGCTTAAAGTTTATTGTTTAAATTACATAACCAAAAAACTTGAAAATAAGAAAAATAGGAAATAAAATTTACTCCTGACTAAAGGAGATTGCTATAAAGTCTTCAGTCTTCCAATTATTGAGTCCATTGTCAGTAGTAGGGAAGATCCAATTGTCTACATCACAGTCGCTATCAGTATTTTCCACAATATTAATAGCATTAACGCCCTTGTCATGATTAGGCATAGGGGTAGTGATCACATTAGGAGTCTCAAGAGGATCAAATTCAATTTCTTTAGCGTCAATCATGTCTTGGATCTTATTCTTCAGAGCCCAACAGTTGCTAGTGTCATGCTCGAGATTGTTGAAGTGATAGGGATGCCTTGTATTGGGATTGTAGCGGGGAGAGGAAGTGTTGAAATTCTGAGACGGTTCTCTCAATGTAATCAACCCAACCTTCAACATGTGTTGAAATTCGTGCATTCTGCCTACGCTGATTATTCTGTTGTTGTTGTTGTTGTTGCGCTGATGCAGGATTAGAGATTAGTATTAACCTCCATAGATTGGTTGTTGTAGAATCATGCTTCAATAAGTTTATGTTTTAATTATTACAAACATCATGATCAAGGAAAAAGGCATTATCAAAAAGAAGAATACAAAGTATCTACTCAAAATGGACTTTTGGCTTGCATGCTAAGTTACTCCTAAAGAAGACGTTGGTACTTGATCTTCATTATGGTACAAGACTCCAATTCAATATAGTATGTAACTATAGTGCTCAAAATATGTCTAACA